TATCTGGGGCCAAATTTGAGCTCAGGTCTTCCTGACTCCAGGCCCAGGGTTCTAACCACTTAGCCACCTAGCTGCCCCTAAGGTCTACAGACCTTATTCATCTTTAAAATGAGGTAGTTTTACTAGATGATCTCTGAAGTCCCTTTGATCTTTCTATTTATGGCTATATGAATGGTAAGAATTAGGAAAGGAAATTTCCATGATGATTAGTAATCTTTGGCTGGATTTCTTCTCACAACCAATTTATTATTCCTCTCATAGAGATCAAAGAGACTACAAAAACCACACAAAACAAGAGGTATAGAGAGGGAGACAGACTAGCCGAGGTCACAGTCAATTAATCACACAACTAGGAATTCTCTACATTCCTTTGGACCCCAGAAGAACAAAGAATGGAACTTTGGGAAAGTGAACCTTAAACCATGACCCAAGGTACCAGTGATGATAATAGTTTGGATCTGACCAAAATGTTCACTGAAATCTGTGGGGCCTTCCTGTCCCAAGGACTGCATACATGTCAATATAATAAAATTAAATTCTTAAATATTTGCTTTTGAAGTATACAGGAATGTGACTGAAAAAATAACAATAATCATTGTTGCAAGTGAAGTCAATTTCACTGGTTAATAGTTATATCTTGGATGTGTATGTATACTAAATGTGGGTCTGTAAATATATAAACATTCATACTAGCAGGTGGATTTGTAAATGTATGTATGTTTGCTTCACACAAATTCTTTGAATGCATGACAAACCTTGTACAGGAGAGGCTCTGCATCTGTCTCTATTCAGCTAACTTTAGCTTCTCCAAAGCTGATCTATTTTATTGGGCCTAACAATCAAATTAAGTTAAACAGCATGGCTCAACGTAGGAAAAAACAGCAACCAGGAACATAAGGGCACTGAAATAACCGGTGCTGATCTGGCAAACACCCAAGGTATCCCCCATAGCAACAGAGCTGATGGCATAGCAACAGCCACCACACTGCCACAGAAAAATTAGGAAAAAATATTCTGAGAGAAAAGCAGATTCTACATTAAAGTCTAATATGACATTTATCCTCAATAAAAGAAACTCTGGAAGCACATGTGTTAAATTATACTATTCCTTGGCACAGCTTAATAAAATTACTTTCCATCACAGCTCTCAAATTCAATTCCTTTTAAACTAAAATGTTTCAAGTTGTTCTCTACCAAATAGTGGCATTTCTTAAAAGGGCTAAAAAAAATTCTGTTCTTTATGAAAGAGAGGTGGGGGGGGAGGGAGGAGGAGGAGAGAGAGAGAGAGAGAGAGAGAGAGAGAGAGAGAGAGAGAGAGAGAGACAGAGAGAGAGACAGAGAGAGAGACAGAGAGAGAGACAGAGAGACAGAGACAGAGAATGAATTTTTTTTTTTTGGACCAGTTCTGTGATTTCATTGATACAAGGAATTTCCACTGTGGAGATTCCCTCTACTCATTCAGGTTATCACTTACTCTGCAACTTATTGTCTTAGAGAACTTCATGGGACATTGAGAGTTAAAGTTAAATTACTTGTAAGTAATAGTAGGAATTGAATTCAGGTCTTCCTGAATTCAAGACTGACCCTCTCTGGCAGGCCTGTGAGAGGCCAAACCCACAGCCAGAACTAGTTGAAAGTACACTTTGGAAATGTTTAGCAAAATACATAAAATGCAACATAGAGAATGTTAATTTGTGGTTTTCTAAGTCAACATACAACTGGTAGGGACTTGTTTCTTTTTGACACCACTGCCCTATATCACAGTGCCTTCCCTTTGTTTTACTAAGATAGGAAAGAGATTCCACAATTATACCTTGAAAGATAATAGAGCAAATATGACAGAAATTGTGTCATCAAACCTTATGTATTCTGTGGCTCAGAACTCCCTAATGACCCTGGGTTCACAAATAACCTCTTAGAGGGAGAAGATTTCTTCAGCATTCTGTCTTTTGCAGAAGTAAGAGTCTTCCCAAGAAAGATTCACCCTGTAGCTAAAGGAATGAAGCTGTGCTTTGGGAGAAGTAGGTGAAGGTAGACAGCTCTGCATCTTGCCAATGTTACAGTGACTCATTCAGTGCAGGTCTTCGAGAAGGGAAGTGTGTCTTTGGTAGCTCCCAAAGTATGGTTACCTTCTAGGTGGAGTCTAATGGGCAAGCTGAGTTCTCTCTTTTCTATTATAGGAGCCAATGCTCTGATGACTTCTTTGAGTCTTGTGTATTTTCTGTGAGGTGAAATAAAGGCTGAACCATACCAAATATGTTTTTAGTACATCCAGCTCCTGTGTGGGAGTTGGAGACCCTATTTGAGGGAACCTACGCAAGAGCTATACATAAGTTTTATATTTAGAGATTTTCCTGGAGAACTGCGGGTTGTCGCAATGTGCCAAAGAAAGAAAATGACCCTCTTTTGGTCAGGGCTTCAGAATCTGACTTAGTTCTTTTCTTCCTCTATACTCTTTCTCGAAAACCTCAGTGACAACCATAGGTCTATCATCTCTATTCAGATATCTCCCAGATCTGTTATCTACTTCTCATCTCTTCCCTGAACTTCTGTACAGCATCACTGATGACAATTAGACACTTCAAATTTGCCTCACAGACATTTCAAATTCAACATGTTTTATTGTCTTCTCCACTAGAAGGTAAGCTCCATGCAAGTAGGGATTGTTTCATTGTTTGCACTTCTATCCCCAGTACTCAGCATAGTTCCTGGTACATAGTAGGTACTTAATAGTTGTTGATTAATTAATTGCTATGGTATACCTCTTCCGCATGTGTTTATCAAACATAGAGTTCTGACTTCTTCCCAAAATATACTGACCAGTTCAGGTCAGACACAGAGAATAATTCAGAGAATACTTCAGATAATCATGTTCAGTGAGCCAGCAAATTATTCCTGGGCCAATCCACCTGTGTAGAAATGTATTATCAGGCCCAATATATCACCAAATGTGGCCAGTTTTCCAGTTTCTTCTTACTACCTGCAGGGCATTTGTCTACTTGGTTGTTTGTGGGGGCAAAAAAGGTCCTAAGCTAAGGTCTCCATTTTCCTAGGAAGCACAGACAAGATTTTGCTCCCAGGCCTGAATGTCCAAGTTCCATATAGGATGTCAATTTTAGGGGGGAAATGGTCAATCCTTCTGGCATTCTCTGTTCATAGTTCTATTTAGCATTTCTCTTTAGAAGCTATCTCATTGCCTGCTGATGACTAGTAGGTTTAGGTAGAGTTTTTGGTGTTCTTATTTGAAACATTTTAGAGTTCAGCAAGTTCTAAGAATTGGTGCTCAGGAAACAAGATAATCTAGACTAGCACTTCTTAAACTGTGGGTCCTGACCCCATTTGGCAACAGTAAAAGGTTTCTGAATGTGCAATGACCAGAAATTAATTAAAAATCAAATGTCTAATGAATCTGAGGTGTTTCTGGCAGTGTTTGCCTGTGTTGCATTGAGTTTGACTGCAGCCTTGGTTCTGAGCACAAAGCATGAACACTGTGCATACCCTCAGGCCATGCAATGCCAACTGGAAAAGGGGTTGCCAGTGACAAAAAAATGTAAGGAGTTCTGGTCTAGACTAGGGGAAAAATAAGAGAGGGAACCTAGACCCATGGAGTCAAGCATAGGAAATAAGTGATTCTGCAACTGAGACACTAAGCAAAGGATTTGGTTACTGGAGGATTGGCGTAAAAGGTGGGAGCCTAAAACAACTGGGGATAAGATAGAAGGCAGTAACCTACATTCCTGAGGAACTTGGATAAATAACAAGAGGTCAAGAAGTGAATGAGGAATCAGAAAGGAGAAGGATATGTAGTTAATCAGAAGAGAATCAAGGCAGCATTATGTCTTTGAAGCCAAGGAAAGAGAGAGTATTGAATATCTGTGGCCCTTTCCTGCAAAATATCTGTGATTTCCAATAAGAGAGAACCCATTACATCCTGCAACAACTTGTTAAACAACTGAATAAACAATAAACAAGTATTGGAATGATTTCTCAACTATAAAATGAGTGGATTAATATTGGATTAAATGGCTTCTGAAGTTCCCCCCAACTCTAAGTCTTTGACTAGTACACAGGGACCAGAAAGGTATGTTCAAGTTATACGTTGTGGAAAGCCATTAATTATAAGCTAAGGATGTGGAATTTTAAATGATAAAATTTTAAGATCAATTCATTTTCATTTATTATAAAGAGTTGTAAACTTTTGCCACATTAAAAATAAACAATGCTCTTTTCAATTCTCTTACATATAAGTATTATTTTGACTATCTCAATTGTTGTGCAGTCATTTTTCAGTCATGACTGGCTCTTCATGACCCCATTTGTAGTTTTTTTTTGGCAAAGATACTGGATTGTTTGCTATGTCCTGTTCCAGCTCATTTTACAGATGAAGAACTGAGGCAAACAGGGTAAAGTGCCTTATCCAGGGTCATACAGCTAGTAAGTGTCTGAGGCTGGATTTGAACTTAGAGAAGATGTCTTCCTGATTCCAGGTCCAGCACTCTACCCACTGTGCCACATAGCTGCCCCTTGATTATCTCCCCTAAGGTTATTTATAAGACTAGGATTTTCAAATTTGTTTGAACATGGAGATTCACTTATCCAAATAATATTCTTACTACACTTATGAGTAAATGGGATGATAAAAACCAAGGATCATGAAGAGAATTGGACCCCTGTTATTTCATGCAATGAGACTAGTTGCTTGGCTCAGTTATGCAGGAGAAGTTCAGTAGTTGAAAACATACTTTATTCCTTAAACTTTAGAATCTAGCTTTCAATTATCACTGAAACCTCTCCAGAGATACATTTAAACAGTTTATTTCTTATAAGACACAAACTAACACACCACATCAAACTGCTACAGGGAGAATTTTTTTAATTTCACAGTTAGTTGAAAAATATACCATAGAGGTATAGAATTACACAAATAATAGCATAACATGTGTATCACCAAATTAGAGATCAACAAATGAGGAGAAACCATATGATTCTGGCTCATGACATTTCTGTTCATAACAAATTCTTATACTCTATGTTAGTCCCTCTCCCAGAACCTCAGCGAGCCCTTTTCCAATTCCTATACAACTTAAATGAAGCAAAATCAGCTTACAGTTTATTTGATGACTCCCTTGTTAAAAGCTTCATGAAAATCTCTCCTCTTCTAATTGGTTCACATCTGATATTCTTACTTTTCAGACTGGCTCCAGTTAAGGCTATTCAATTTAATGTACAGAATCACAGAATCACAGAATTGAAGATCTAGAAGGGACCTCAGCAATTAGGCAGTCCAACCAAAACTCAAAAGGACTCATCCATTACAAAATATCATACAAGTGGTGTCCAGCTTCCATTTATACACACATCACCTCTTGAGGCAGCCCACTATAGGATTGGATAGCTCTAATTGTTCAGAAATTTGTTGAAATCAATTCAACAGAGATTTATTAAACATGTACTATGCATAAGCATAGGTACCAAGGATTGGAAGATAAAAATGCAACAATTTCTGTCTTCAAAGAGCTTAGAAGAATTGAGTTAGAGTTTAAAATGACCTTCAAATTCAGTTAGTCTAACCTTGCCCTTATGGCTTCCATTCCCCTCCAACATACACACATTTTATAGATGAAGAAACTGAGTTTCAGAGAGGTCAAGTGACTTGCACAATGTTGCATATTTAATAAACAGTAGAGTCAGGAGGATTTGAATCCATGTTTTTTTTTTATTTTGAATCCAAATCCAGCACTCATTTTATTAGTTTTCTCCAAGAATGAAAATGAGGGAAAACCTTTATTGAACAGATTGTTGTGTCATGGTGACTAAACTACCAGAAATGTCTTTGGCAGCATCTACTCAAACCTATAGTGCTGTCACTGTGTGATTGGTTATATCTATAGGTTGCTAAGTGCTAAAAACATATAAAGGAAGGGAAGATGAAAGAGAGAGAGAGAGAGAGAGAGAGAGAGAGAGAGAGAGAGAGAGAGAGAGAATGAATCAATCACCAAAAGGTGATATGTTGAAGGGAAGAAATGGGAAAAAGGTCAATAGCTTTTTAGAATTCTCTAGCTAACACAGCCATAACTATTTGCATAGAATGAAGTGGCTCCTGAGGTGAGATTATAACAGTTTCCATACCACATCTCTCAATTCCTTTTTTATTTGAGAAGGTAGAGCTCTAGGGAGCTTCACTTCAGTTTAGAGATATGATAAACCTAAAAACTAAAACGTGTTTCTTACCTTAAGTAAGGTGACAGTTAAAATGATAGGCTGAAAGCAGATAGTAGAGGACAAGGCAGCTAAAAAGACATTCAGGAATGACACTAACTGAGGAGTTCTAAGAAAAATTTGAAGAGCAGTTCTAATGCATTTACTTCCTAATGCAGTTTTTCAGAGAAGAGTGCTTCTTCGCAATCATCACCATCATCATCAACAACAATAACAACAGCAAGCATTTATTGGGCCTGATAAATTGCAGGAACTGTGTTTAATTAATAGGCATACAAAGTCAGAAAAAATATGATTTTTTTACCCTGAACGAGCTCACAATATTTAAACAACTATATATTTATGCCTATATCATAGTTGTTAACATATGCACATAAATACATATATATACACATGTGTATGTGTATGCATGTATAATGGTAGGTAATCTCAGAAAGGAAGTACTAGCAAAACAGTGGGGGTGTTTGTGGGGAACTGGAAAGGTTTCTTGTGATAGCTGGGATTTCAGCTGACTCTTGAAGGAAACCAGGGAAGCAAGAGGTGGAAGTGAGGAGGGAGAGCATTCCAGGTCTGGGTGAGAAGACTAAACTTCATATCCCTTAAATAAGAATATTGGCTGATAAAAACTTCAGTCTTCTGTGCTAGAGAGGGGATTATTAATCACAGCACCTCTCTCAAATGGAAAACTGAGTTACAGGTAGCTCTCAAGCTCTCATTTGAGGCACAAAAAGAGAAGGCTGCTAGAACAGACTGAATGAACTCCCTCTTCTGCAGAGGAAAGTTTTATAAACCATAACACCCCTCAAGTGAACAGTAAAGGTGGTTTAAAAAGTTGATGGAAGAGCTTTAATATAGCATTCCCAGTGGATGTTGCATATGCTATTAGATGACCATGAAAATGGATAGATTCCATGATCAGATGGAAGGGAGAGTAGCACCTAGCAATGAGCAATGAAGAGCAAAGCTTGGAATGGAGCAAATCAGAACCATTGCTGGGGAAGAGATCTGACAGAGAGGAATATGATTATATCAGAAGAAGACAACAGCTCTCCTATGTTACAGAGGTAAATTTACCTTGTTTAATTAAATATATTTGTTCTGAATTGTGTATTCTATAATTGTTAAAAAAAAAAGGTAACACATATTGGTAGCAGAGAATGATAACACACAAAATGTCTAGAACCTAGGATTAATAACTAGGGTACCAGACCAAGAAAGGCCTGCAGGAGGCAAAGACAACTGGGTTTCTAAGAAAATTTCATACTCACACTTGAGGTTCCAAGAATTTATCTTTGTGTAATGATAATCACCCCACTAAGAATCTTCTCTACTATCTCATCCCAACATAGAGGTGATTCTTGCTCTCAAAATCTGTTCCTGAAGAGTACAAGTTTTGGCATATCCTACCAAGATGGAAGGCTATAGTTGCATGTCAATTAATGCATTGTATATTTGTCACAACTCTCTATGTGTGAAGAAGTAGGTTCATCACCAGAGGCTTAGCTATTGGGTGATGACATTTTGAGTCAAAGTAACTCATGAAGACTATCTGGTAAAGGATGAAGGGATTTTGATCAGCATCAAAGGAATATTCACACTGAAGAAATCACAAATCCATGAAAAATTATAATAATCTTAAGGGCAGGTCTCAATGGATTCATTTTGTCACATGTTTTAGACCACAATCAAAGATTCTAATTGCTGCTTTTGTCCTCAATCTTTTAAACATGCTGTTATAATTGTTACCTAGCCTCCTTGAAACTCTAAACTGCGTTATTTTAGAATGAGGTAAGGCTCTTGTCAGACTTCCTATGTATTATTCAATTCAGAGATGTTGATATGATTATTGTCTTGTAAAAAGATAGATGTGCTTTCCCCCATCTTTGATTTTTTTATCTGTAGAATAAAAACCAGTTCTCTGTGTGTGTGTGTGTGTGCTTGTGTGTGTGTGTGTATGTGGTTCATAACTTTTTAGAGTTTGGGAAGGTCATTTTAAAGCCAATTGTTCATAATACATTATGCATTCTCTCACAGATACATGTTATATACAACTGGAAAATTTCTCAGTTAGCAAGCAAAAACCCATTTAACTGAAATCTTGACAAAATTATTTTAGATCCAGGAACAAACTTCAAAATTCAGTGATGGATTAGTTCTTTACCATTCCAGAAAAGAAAAACAAAAGAGAAAATAAATTGATAATGTATAGTCATATGGAACTGATTTCCAATGTCAGGATGGGATCCAAGTTAGGGTCACAATAACAATAAATATTAATTAAGCATTTTTTTTTTTTTACAGAAGCATTGTGCTGGGGTGGAGCCAAGATGGGTGGAGAAAAGGCTCTCCCAAATTCCCCTCCAAACCACTTTAATGCCTCAAAATTAATTCTAGAGTGACAGAACCAACAAAAAGACAGGGTGAAATGATTTTCCAGCCCAAGATGACTTAGAGGGTTTGCAGGAAAGTTCTTTTGCACCAGATGAGAGTGGAGTATAATGTAGGCTGGCCATAGCAAGCATTTATTAAGCACCTACTATGTTCCAGGCACTATGTTAAGCAGTGGTGATATTTTTCATTGCCTTTCTCCTCCAAAGGCCTTTTTATCTATATTTTTGCTGTCTTTTCTAGATACTTTATTTTGAATACTATTTATTATAGTGTTTAAAAAGGTTTGAAAGGCATAACTTCTGGGTAATTTATTAATTTTATTAATAATGCCAGCATTTTAATAAAAAGATAGTCACTTGTCCATCTGTCGTTAGACCAAAGACCATCATGTTGGCAGAGGCCCACACTTATATGCCCTTTTGGAAGAGGAATGTGCCTAGGGTGGTAATCAATTCTGATTGGCTAACAATTAATGAGAGAATGAATATTACAATGGGAGGCTGAACCTAAACTTTGATCATGTCATTTAGTTCTAAGTTAGCCCCAGCCTTGGGCAATCTACTCAAAGAATTTATCTCCACTCAAACCTGAGTAGTACACAATAGCTGCCCCACCTGGGTGGAGTCTGGATAGAGGAGAAGGTTACCTCAACCTTCAGAGACTGAGCTCTTCAAATGAGTATAAAAGAAAAAGGGGGAAATCGGTATCTTCCCAAATCATTGGTTATTACTAATAATTTTTCTCATTTTTCAAGGTGTATTTGTTTTTTTCCTCCAAAGAGAAAGATTCATAAGCAACAAATCTTGCCTTTTTTATATGCAGAATGCTATAGAGTGAGAAAGGACACCATTAACTACCAAGGGTTCCTTAGAAGACAGGCTAATCTCTTCGGCACAAGTTTCATGAAGAATCATTCTTTTCTAGTAATGTTAGCTGCATGTCAAATTTCAGTTATGCCTAAATTGATCAATCAACGGCACTTATAATACATTGGACATTGTAATAAGCCTAGGAAAAAGCAAAAACAGTCTCTACTCAAAGAACTTACATTCTAATGGGGATAAACAATATATAAATCCATATATGCATGAGTAATACAGAGTAGATGAAAGTATTAAAAATTAAATGTGCCCTCAGTCCACTTCAAAGCAAGAAACTCTTAATATTCTTTTCTCTCAAAGTCTGAAGCAGCATTTTAAAAAAAATCATTGATAATAATATAAAGGCTATTTTCTAATCTTTTTCAGAATTGCAGTACAGTATCTGCATAAATATGCATGTGGAAAAATAAGGATACTCTATTTAGAATCTATTTTTAATCTACTTGTTCATAGGAGCAAATCTGTACTGCAAATAACCAAAAGAGAAACAATATATAAGTGCAAAATTTAAGGGAAAAAAGCATTTGTGCTTTTTTGATTGTTTATATAATAATCTTTTTAACTTAAAAATTAAACCATTTGTTTTCTATTATTTCCTGCCATTATTGAACAGTGGTTTAAATCTGCCATATAGATATACATATATCTATAGATATATATGTATATATATGAAATAAAGAAGAGAAAGAGGGAGAGAGGAGAGAAAGAAAAACAGAGAG